GCATTCTAGCTAACTCCAGTACTTAAATGCCATTCGTCTTTGTAACATGTTTTGAGAGGTGCTCGTTGGAAAAACAAATCCTCCTTCTACTGTCCTGTCCTGTCTGTAAGGAGAATTTGTATCTTGTTTACTTAATATGGCATCCAGTTTAGCTTCAGCACCCGAGCCTGCAAAATGAACTTTTGAACCCAAGGCATTTGGCCCAGAGCATTGCCTGCGGGACTGATACTCAGTATTTGAGGTTTGCCTGGACATGATGTAATGGAGATAATTGCTGAACCATTTGGATTTCAACCACAGACATCAATTTCTTTCTAAAGAAATGTTCTGTACTTAGCTTAACTAAATAAAGACATTCATCTTAAATCTCTGCTACCTCATGTAGCTGAGAAATTAAGGTTTGATTGGTTAATACAAAACTTCCCCAAAACTTTCCAGAATTGCAGTATTATTTTTAGCTGTCTCAAGCAGGAGACTTTCATCTGAAAGGAGTCCATTGATTTACCTCTTTGCCATAGCTCCAGGGTGTCATGTGAGTGAATTATCTCCAGGCTTTAAAATGATACCTGTGCACTGCTTGTCTACTCTTTCAGGTTTTTTCTACACTTTTCCCTTTCTGTCTTTAGAAGTATTGTGTCAAAAAGTGTTTAAATTCTCTCCCATTTCAAGAAGGAGGAAAAAGAAATGGGCAAGAGATGAGCTTTTGCCATTAATTCTTCGGAAGAACACTGTGATTTCCTATTGGTGCTACATGTGTATTGTGACCAATTTTAGGAGTCTACTGCTTTGTCTTAATATTCACATACAGTTTTTTTTAAAAGCTTAAAAATATATTTAAGTCTTAATAATAATTTGCAAGGTGGCATCAGTGTATTAGAGCAAGGATTTCTATATATGATACATTTTTCTGTATGTATAGTAGTGTCAGTTCTCTACCGTTTGAGTGGATGAGTGTGCATTTGCTAGCCGTGAACAATTTTCTGAGTTACAATCTATTAACTGGAACTGGTAGCCAGAGGATACATTAATATCTCTAAACTGGAAGCCTCATACCCAACATAACTTCAACATGGAAGAAATGCATACAACTTTTGTAAGTGTGTGTGTCTTTTGCAGAACTGTGACAGACATGGCAAGTTTTAAATCTGAGAGGGTTTCTCCCTCTGTATTCAGAAGCCCATCAACAATGAGTATGCTAAATTTCAAAGTTCTAACTTAATGGGAGCCTGAAAGTTGTCAGTCAACCTGTTACAAGCTTGTCTGCGCATGTCTATGCGCTATGCACAAAGCATTCAAGCAAGACATCTAATTGTTTTCAGGCTGTCTACATTTAAATTTATTATAGCTTTATGGGTGCTTTGTGGCACTCCAGTATATGATCAAGCATTTAATGGAACAACAGTAGCAGTGTTAGCATGTTATAGATATCAAATGATTATAGTGAATACTTTTGAATCTACCTTGGCAATCTTTCTTTGCGTTGCAAGAAAATGGAAGCATTGTTGAACAAACAATGGTTACTTCCGCATGCTTTACAATTTGAATATCCTGGTGCTGAAGGAGTCTCTAAATGATAGTAAAAAGGAGTTTCTGCCTAGTAACTGTAACAAGGTAAAGGACAATTTGATAAAGGAAGGATAGTAAAGCATAGCAGTTCTCAAACTGTGGGCTGGGACCCCAAACCCTTTGAATGTGGTCACCAGGGCTGACTTAGATTTGCTGAAACTCAAGCCTCACTGCCCAGGGCTGAAACCAAAGCTGAGGGAATCGGGTGTCCTGGCTCACACTTGGCTTTTCTCTTTTTCTCTCCTCCTCTCCCCGGGGGAATTGTCCCCCCCAGCTGCTGTCCTTCTGATTTTTAATTGTGTTAAGAGTTGGCAGAGGCGCAGCGTCAGGGACTGGGCATGAGTCTGGGAATCAGATTCTAGCTTGCGCCCTGTTCCCACTACTTCCCTACCCCCTGCAGAGATGGTGCTGGGGGGGAACCGGCTTTTAAGCCATCTCCCCGCAACATTGGCTCCTGCTTCCCCCCCCCCCTTGCAGAATAGAGGCAGCAAGGGGAGGGGAGTGATTAGTTGTAGGACTAGTCCACTACCTGATATGCTTTTGCTTATTGGCAGGGCTCGACAAATTTATGTAATCTACTCGCCTGTGGCGAGTAGATTACAAGCTGGTGCTGTACGATCTGCGCATGTGCAGCTTGCAGAACTGCGCGCCGCTTGGTGAGCCCTGCTTATTGGATAGTCCAGGGGAGGCCAACCCATTCTGGGTAAAGAGCCAAGATAGCAGTAGATCCAACGCGAAGAGCCGGGGCAAAGTTGTCAAGAAAAAAAAAGCTCTGCCCCTTTAAGAAAACGCATTTAAACATATTTAGAGGCTTTTTGGCCACTTTAGCTCCCACTGGCTGATGCCATATTTAATTCTAGTCTTTCATGGCTGCGCTGGACAGCTCCCCTGCCCAAGTCAGCACAGGGAGCTGGGAGGAAAGGGCTGTTTTGGGGGCTGCAGGGCATGTGGCTCGTGAACCTTGGGTTAGCCATGGCTGGGATAGTCAACTACTTGACTACAGTAGGTGCTTTCATCCCTAATATGCATAAAGAAAAGCAAAGTCTGTCCTTTGTTGATTAATTTCACAGGTACTTATCACCATCTGTTGACAGTAGGCTAGACAAATATATAGGGTCTTCTGTACTCTTCAGCAAGTGGGGCCTGAGTTGTGTGGCAACCTCTCTGGTTTCTCCTGACAGCCTAGATATTTTGCAACAAACAGAGTCAAGGGGTATTGGTGATCTGTCCACCCTAAAAGGAGAGGAGGAGACTGAGTAGCCCCCCGACACACACCAATTCCCAGCCCAGAAGCCTGTTACTGTAGTGGTGATAGGCTTCGCCATGGGAATTCACATGCAACACACTGAGTGCTTCAGAAACAGTGGTTGGTCCCTCCCTGGGCTGTTTCCTACCTTAAATCCTGTAGCTGAGTCTGGGTGTCCTCCGGGTCTCAGGATGCCTCTAATCTTCCTGGTGTATCCATGCATGCCTGCCTGGGCTGCACTGCCTCCTGCTCCCTTGGTCGGGGCTCCTGGCTGCCCCCTGGCTGGAGCCCACAAAGTGCATCTTTCCCTCCTCAGTGATCTGCCCTTTTATACCACAGCAGCAGTTGGAGCATGCCCAGCAGGACTTAGGGGGTGGGGCTTCTGCTGCTATGTTGCCTTAATTAACCCCTTCCTCTCCAAAGTGGGATTGGTACACCTCATCGTAACCCATAATAAATTTTTTTCAGAATATAATTTCACCAAAAATGGAATTTTGGCTTTGCTTTTACCAATTTTGGATTTTGTTTTGAAATCTCAAAATTTCTTACAGAATTGAAATTCATTTTCTGAGAAGCTCCATATATAGGTAACATCACAGCTATAGGGTATATGGCTGCCTCCTCACCTTAAATATTGTGCAGTAGAAGAGTTGTTCCTACTTAGAGATGCTAGCACTTCATTTCTGTCACATCATTTCCTAAATCCATTCATGTATAGTGTGAGGTTTGGTTTTTTTCCCAGAGGACATGGTCTCTAGATAGGCTCGCCGGAGTAGCAAAAGCACCTTCAGGTTAAAGTATGATGAGATTTGATTCAACTACAACTGCTATATTAGAAGTGGTGGGTTTTCCTCTCCTCTTATCTGTCCCACAGGTAATAAATGTTGATGGAACCATGAGGAAAACTCTACTAGAAGACAAGCTTCCTCATATATTTGGGTTTACTCTGCTGGGGGACTACATCTACTGGACAGACTGGCAGCGACGAAGCATTGAAAGAGTTCACAAAATAAGAGCAAGCCGGGATATCATAATAGATCAGTTGCCAGACCTAATGGGCCTCAAAGCAGCAAGTGTCACCAGAGTGTTTGGTAAGCATGAGCAACGTGAAATGGAATTGAGACACCTTCCAGGGGGCTTTGCTTTTGTTAAACAATAACATTCACCCCTTTTGACAGGAATAATCAAGCTCTTAATATGTCATACTGCTGGTTAAAGGGAAGCTATCATAGTGAAAATATGACCTGCTTTTCAAGACCACTGCTATCAGAAAACTACCTTTGCTGAAAATATACCTGATAATGTCTTCTGAAATTGCAAACTAAACCAATAAGTAAAATGAAAGCAATTTTCTTGCTCCACTATTCTTGAATATTAGGCAGGTGTTCATCCAGAGCGTCAATGAGAAAGCAAAGTTTTGTAGCCTGTTGCAGCATGGACACTGGTCACACATCCTTTTCTGTGTTTTTCCTATGTAATAGTCCACCTAACGTGTACCCTGCCACCAGCTAGAAGTGGCATGACAAGATGACTGGTATGCAGAATTCACAAAATGTTTTAGTTCCTGCAGCTGTGTCGTCTTAACCTCTTAGTGACAGTGAAAAATATTCCATAGTGTGTTCAGTTGGAAAATAACTAAGGAACTTGTTCTGCGTCTTGCAGACAGAACAAGACTACCCAAACTCCGAGAGGCATTTAAATCTAGTGTCAGGCATGCCACTAAAAAAGAAATTGAAAAAAGTGCACTAAAAAAGTGCCACATTTAAAAGCAACTGGGATCTCTAACCTGATCTCACTCTCAGTTCATCCTTGCAAGAACTGCCATGTAGGAATAGGAGCACTGGAACTGGTTTCATGCCTTTAAGGCAGTGGCTTTGAGCATGTTCTGTGAGTTGCCAAGGTTCCTGAACTTTTATGGACTTCTTTAGCTCTTAGCAGCAGAGAGTCATGCACGTGTATGCTGCCTGGTGTGGTGGAGCTCTGATCTGAGTGAGGGGGCCTTAAGGTATTACTGTAATTCAAATAATTGATTGTTTTAACTGCAGTCAAGGGTACTGAGCACCTTTCAGTATAGCAGGATCATGCCCTCTCTTTCACAGATCTCCATATGTTCTGTGAATCATGTGGGTACCAAAATTTAGCCCTCAGTTTGTAACATTCCTTAATGTAGCAAATACCGTGGTGCTCCAGTATCAGACAGACACACTGAAGAAATTAAATTCCATGCTAAACTACCCAAATCCATAAGCGTATGCATAAAGATAATAGATTTATAGAAATGTGTTGTGGTTATTTTACAGTATCAGTGTAGTTTGCCTCTGAATATTTACTTTGGGTACATAAACCTTTAAAAAAATCTTATTAGCTTATTTATCAAGGTCACTCACTTTAAATAGGCTGGGGAGGGGTATGAGGTTCTGCAGTGAAGCCACACAAAATAACTGCCACACAGAAAATATTTGTGTACATGATGGAGAGCCAGATCATCAGCCAGTGTGTGTGAATCAACAGAGCTCCACTAAGTTCAGTGCAGCTAGGCTGATATAAGTCTGGATTCTTTGTCTCCTATTAAAAAAAAAACTAAACTGGGACTGAACTGAGTTTTGAGACTTAACCATGGTAACAAGTTTGTTTTTTAAATGACTAAACTTATGTTTGCAACTGGTGGTGAGTGGCATTCATTTTGTCCTCTGCTCCCATCTTTACCCCCGTCCCAAAGCCTGTTGACCCCTCAACATTTGTTTATAGGCACACTGGTTCCCTTGACCAAAATAGCGGGTGTGTGATGATCTTACTGGAATGATGCTTAATGATGAATCTCAGCAGGTGATTGGGTATAGCAGCAGGGAAAGGAGCTATAGTTGTTGAGCTCTGTTCTCACCCGGGCATGTAATGGAAATCAAGCAAAAATTCAACTTAGTTGAATTAAAAATTCAGTTTAAAAATTCAACTGAGATAATCAGTTGCTTGGCCAAAAATAAACAGGAAAAAACAAACACAACTGTGTGTTTTTGGTACAGGAATGAAATCTGTGGAGAAAAATGAAGAAAATATTTAGAGACGTAATCGGTATTATAAGATGACTGATACTAGCCTCTAAAATCTTGGGAAAAGATCTAAGTTAATTTTTGGCCTCCCTGTTGACATTCACAGCAATATGTTATCTCCTAAGTCTGTAAATACATTGCATGTGATTCCATCCCAGATAGTTTTATCTTTAATGGACCAATGTCTCCTTTTTAGGAACCAATCCTTGTGCTGAGAATAATGGAGGTTGTAGCCATCTGTGTTTCTTCACACCTCTGGAGACCAGATGTGCTTGTCCCATAGGACTGGAGTTACTGAGTGACATGAAGACCTGCATTATTCCTGAAGCCTTCCTTGTCTTCACCAGCAGAGCAGCAATTCATAGGATTTCCCTCGAAACTAACAATAATGATGTAGCTATTCCTCTTACTGGTGTCAAAGAGGCATCTGCTCTGGATTTTGATGTGTCTGATAATAGAATCTATTGGACAGACATTAGCTTAAAGGTATTCTTAACATTTGAATTCCCTGAATATAAACCCACAGTATAGTCTCTTTAATCTAACAAAGATCTGTTTGATATATAAAGTAGCACATGGTTGCTGATATTAGCACTGAGTTGTGTCCAAAGAAACAGAGATGATCGCATTTTAAATATGTGCTGAGGTCAAAATGAGTGTTTCATATTATATGGGATGTCTAACTCTTGGCTGCCACGTGCATTGAATCCATACATTTATCTGTTTCAGTTATGCTTTTTGCATGCCACAGATTTGGCAAATAAACTTCAGGCCTCTTATCCTCCCACTTGCTGCTTCTCAGTGAAAGGGTTGCAAAATTTTCACAATAAAATACTGTGCCAATGTGTTTCTGCAGCAGTTGGAAATTTGATCTGTGACATTGCTGGTTTATATCCAGGTATAGGCAAAGGAGAGGGTTGTATCATCCATTGTTGTTGAATTTTCTTTTAAATGAATTCAGTACAGGTTGAACCTCTGTAGTCTGGCACTCTCTGATCTGGCAACATCCATAGTCTCAACATGATTTTAGGTAGCCAGATGTCCACTTATCATGGGCATGGCCAAGTTTCCCGCTGTCCCATAAAGTTTGTTTGCAGCCAACAGTCCTGGCTGTCAGTGTTTTGTGTTGTCATTTAGCTCTAATTTACACTTAAATATCTCTAAGAGCCCAGTAAGCAGTGGAAGAAGTGTTAGTAATGCTGCTAGACAATATTGGTTCGGTACTGGTCAGGCCCTGTGGGTGTCGGACTAGACAGATTCAGCCTATAGTGGTAGAAATGTCAAATTGATATAACTGGAAATGAGCTCCTCTGTTTAGCTTCTGAATAGGCACACTACAGACTGTGGAAGTTCTGTAAAATAACCTTCATAGAATTTGCTGTGTCCGTAAGGTACAGTAATATTTTCAAATGATTATTTTCCAGACCATAAGCCGGGCTTTCATGAATGGGAGCTCAGTTGAACATGTAATTGAGTTTGGGTTAGACTACCCTGAAGGAATGGCAGTAGACTGGATGGGAAAGAACCTTTACTGGGCAGATACTGGAACCAATCGAATTGAAGTAGCACGTCTAGATGGACAGTACAGACAGGTTCTTGTGTGGAAGGATTTGGATAACCCAAGATCTTTGGCCCTTGATCCTACTAAAGGGTAAGGAGCATTATTTATTGTTCTATGGGTGCAACAATAATTAACAACATATATTTTTATATATTTCAGCATACTTTGTATTTCTGATTCATCAGGGAATCTCAACACACTTTATAGCCATCCATGGAACAATCACCATAGCTCCTCTGCGATATGGATAGGGGCTATCATGCAAAATTTAAAATTTCTGTCAATTAACTTTTGCTGCCTTTACCTTTTTAGAAAGCAAAAGCAAAATTGTATGCACTAATTGGCTGCATAAAGTTTCATTGGATATTCCAGCTTGTAGTATGTGTGAGTCAAGGGCTCTGGTTTTTGCTCTCATCTGAATGAATAGGCACATATTGAAGGGATAGTCACTGACTTAAGAAGCATTGGGCTTGACCCTGTGTAGTCCTGTGCTAAGCTCTCTGACCCAATCCAGCAAAGCACACATGCCTAACTTGAACTCAGTGAAATTGTATATTTATATATTTCTTTTTTATTGATTGATAGCCTACCAGTTACCATAGCAGCTGAAGTCTCTGGCATCCTGGGTAGGGAAGCTGGATTTTAATCCATGTCATAAACTGATCCCTGTTTTCTTCTCTTTTGATTGCAGGTATATGTACTGGACAGAGTGGGGAGGTAAACCAAGGATTGTTCGGGCATATATGGATGGGACAAACAGCATCACTTTGGTTGACAAAGTGGGACGTGCCAATGATTTAACAATTGACTATACAGACCAAAGACTATACTGGACTGACCTAGACACAAGTATGATTGAATCATCAAACATGCTAGGTAATTTGCTGTTATAATCAAAGGAACACACACGGTGTTTTGTTCAGAACTGTGATCTGAGCCCCTGTAAGGGAGTTAGTTGATTTTTGTCTTAAATGATTGGGTGAAGGATTGGAATGCAGGGGGTCTGGGATCTGGGAGAGTTTTGGTGAAGAAGGGGGTTGTGACCCAGGGGAGGGTCTAGAAGAGGGTGCAAGGTCCGGGAGGGAATTGTGACTAGGGTCAGTGTTGCAGGAGGGGTTGCAGAGGGTTTGAGCTGTGACCTACGACAGGCAGTTGGGTGTGGGAGGGGATGGGGTGCCAGATGCAGGCTCTGGACAGCAGGTTCTTACTCTATGTGACTCCCAACCAGCAGTCCTGAGGGACTCTCAGGCAGGCGTACCTGCCTTTCACACCCCCCCACACAACTAAAAGCAGTCAGCTGATAGGATCAGCATGTGTGTGTCTGCATGGCACACACCATGGGGGGCCGGTTGTCCACAAGCTGCCTGTACCCACAAGTACGGCCATGGCAGTTCCCATTGGCCAGTTGCCCACCAATCAGAGCTGCAAGGATTGTGCTGAAGGTGGGGACAGGGCACGGAAACCTTCCCACCCCATGGTATGTGCCACATGCTGGCCCAGCATTCAACTGCGTTAAGCATCCTGTGCAGTTGCAGCAGGCAGGGGGCCTGCCCGAGGATCCCACTGGGCCACAGAACATTAGCAGCCCAGCAGATTGTGACAAGCTGGATCTGAATATTTGGTGGCCTGGCTTATTCCCTGGGTTGTATTTTGCTTGCTCCTGCTTTACATTAATATTGATAAACTGGGAAATTGAATAAATGCAGGAAGTGATAATACTATAGTAAGCAATTCGTGTTGATCTTTATATCTAAAGTGCCTTATAAAGGTTCATGATTCTCCAGAAAGCCAGAGGAGGTAGACTGAATTATCTCCATTTTTAAGAGTAAATGATTCTACACAACAAATTTGACGGTAGGCAGAATTAAAATCCAGGAGTTTCTGAGTTTCTTGTCCCATGTTTGTTTCCATAGGCCATGCTGCCCTGGTTTGATGTGAATCAGCGCCTCTAGAATTTCTGTATTAAACGTATGTGGCAAAATACACATAGCATGGCATTTATATTAACTATTTCAGAGTCACTGCTGTGACATTATAGTTAGTGAAACAGGTAACTCCCTGTTAAGCTAATTTTGAGTGAAAAGCTATACTTTAGAATGAAACGTGTAAAGCTTTGTTTTAGCAGTCTGAAATACGGTTTCTTCAAGAAAGTTTTAGATGTTTTTTCTTTGCTCAGATCACTCTCAAAACTGCTTAATTAAGCAACACATATAGTAAAACATGGCATGGGCATGGCCTACAATGACATAAGAGACCCTGGCACATCTTGAAGAAATATGTTTTAGGAAATCATTTAACTAGCCATCAGTATTTTGTGACTTTCTACTGCCTCCTTTTTTTTCCACAATGTACTGAGCTGCAGAATTCCAAATATCCACTCCTGCTGAGCTAAACAGGTTGAATTGAACATAGTTGCATTTACTTCAGCAATCCTGTATGGGCACAGGTAAAATTACACAAAAGAAAAACTAGAAATCACTTATACATCATAGGGTTAGTATCAACCTTGGCTTACATATATATTGGGCTGTAGTCTGGCTTTGATACAGCATCGCTATTGTCAGCTGACATGTGAGTGCTTGAGTTGCTGTTATAGAGGATGTAAATAAGAGATGATGGGAAGGAGGAGGGAGGGAAGGAAACCTCTGGAGCCCCATAAAACATCTTAATGATTCTGAAAGACCTTCAAAATCTGTAGCTCTTTCAATGGCTTTCAGTGATTGCACGTCTTACCTTCATCACAGTGAAAAGCATTATGAGAAATGATCTACCAAATGTACGTCACTGCTTGTAATTTTTATTATGGTTCTTTCTTCCATCAAAGTAAATTTTTCATCAGAAGCTTTTGATAGGGTCCCTCATCAGATTGACAAGGACACTAAATTGCCAGAGGGTAAGAGGCAGATTTCTGAAATAGACTAAAAACTTTTTGTAGTACTGAAGAGAAATTCAGCACTTGGTGGCTGTCTCAGACTGAAATAAGATTAATCCGATCTGATGAATTGAACTGGTGCTAAATCTGGGATGAGGGACAGTTAATATAGTGATCGCTTTGGAGAATGAAACAAACAGTGAACTATTGAAACTAACAATGGCGCATGGTTAATGAAATGTAAGGAGGTAAGCAAGAATTCTAGGTGTAATTTTAGCAAAGTGATTGAATAGGGGAATCATAACTGGATGAAAAAACTTTGCCAGTGGTGCACAGTGAGAGTCCTGTCCCAAAAAGAATCTGGTTGGGAGACGAGGGTTGAAATATGCCTGCCCAGTACACAGCAGCAGTGGATAAAGTAGTCTTAAATTTGTGAGCAGGGGGTGTTCCTAGCCTGTTCTCAGATACTACAGAGCATGTGAAAACACCCCCTTCTGCGGTTTTTGTTTACTTAACCTGTGAGCTAGTGAAAAACACATACATTTCAACTCAGCTAGATCAAATAGTTTGTTAACTCTCTGCCCAGGGTAAGTAAATTTTCAAATTTATTTTGTAGTAAGATGGTGTGTTATCCTGTTGTCCAAGCTTTTCTTTCTCCCTCCACTGGCCTAGGCCAACTCATGGGGAAAAAGCAGAGCACTCAGAAAATATTAGGAGTATATATGGGCGACTTGGTTTAAACCCTCTTCCCCAACATACATACACTCCAGTCAAAAAGATTATTTTAAACAATGGAGCCACGTAGTAGTCTATCCTCAGCTGGTGTAAACCACTGAGTATGGTATAATAAAGTTTTCCATAATAGTTAATCTACTTTGGCCAGTGTCTCATCTTAAGAAGGTGATAAAATCTTAGATTATGAACTTCAGTAATTAAGCAGTGTCATGTGTAGGAGTGTTAGGATTCCTTCCAGACTAATGCAGGGAATCATTTTTAAATATCTGTGTTGTCTTAATTTGCCTAGCAACTGTGGGTTTTTTTACAACTTAAATCCAACATCAGAATTTCTCTGGATCAACTTTATCACTGCATCCCACAGATTATCTTTACGGTACTTTGCAATAGGTTGTTCACAATACTTGTTTCATATGTGCTATAAAGTTAATGTTTATCCAGATTAAGTGTTTATTGGGATAAAGGTTTTCTTAAAGATTGTTCTCAGGATCCAGTTTAGGGTGTTAAGCATCTGACACAAAATAATATTTCTTAAAATGACAACAGTTTCAAAGATACTACTTCTGAAGTAAGATATTACTTAGTAAGAATAAAGATATTGGAATTTAGATCTTAGTGGCTGCCTTTTAATAGGAAGATATTGTGTAATTATGAACCCCATTATACTGATCCTTAGCAAATTATCTTTAAAAAATAAAGAGAGTAAAAATTACATTTTATTCACATAGGATTAAATAACCCTTTTGTCACTGTTTTGCAGCTGAGTTTTGGTTGCTACTTATGATTAATGCCAACAATAATATGAAGTTATTTTTCCAGGTCAAGACAGGGAAATAATAGCAGATGATCTACCTCATCCATTTGGACTTACACAGTACAGTGATTACATTTACTGGACAGACTGGAACCTTCACAGTATCGAAAGAGCAGACAAGGCCAATGGGAAGAATCGGACACTAATTCAAGGCCATCTGGATTTTGTGATGGACATATTGGTCTTTCATTCTTCACGCCAGGATGGCTTGAATGACTGCATGCAGAACAATGGGCACTGTGGTCAGTTGTGCCTTGCCATACCTAATGGGTATAGATGTGGCTGTGCCTCTCACTATATCTTGGATCCCAACAGCAGGAACTGCAGTTGTATGTTTTTTTATTTCTTCTGATTTTCTTAAGCACTTACAGCTCATTGCTGCTTGTAGTACCTTTTACTACAGGTTGAGCTTCTCTAATCCGGCACTCTCTGGTCCAGCAACAGCCGTGGTCTGGCATGACGTCCACTTATCATGTGGCCAAGTTTCCCGCAGTCCCATAAAGTTAGTTTACAGTCACCAGTCCTGGCTCTCAGTGTTCTGTGCTGTTATGTAGCTCTAATTTACCCCTAAACGTCTTCTAAGAATCCAGTAAGCAGTGGAAGTGTTAGTAATGCTGCTAGACAATATTGACCTCCAGCAGTCCGGCAAGTGTTCTGGTTCAGCACCGGTCAGGTCCCAAGGATACCGGACTGGAGAGGTTCACCTTGTATAGAAAGGGCAGGATTCATATACATACATTTCAGGAGTGGTTGGTTTTAAAGATGACCTGCAAAAAGAGAATAGGGGTTTGTTGCCCTTTCTGTTATGCATAATGAAGAGCTGGTATTTCTTATTTTGCTGGATGTGTTTCTTGGGGTGACTAAGACGTATATTAGATGCTTTCCCAGCCTTTAAGTGAATGGATGGGTGGGTCTGAGTGACATTCTAAACAAAAGCATATTTTTTCCCCAAGTGTTTTAGATAAACAAGTGTTAGCAAAAACAAAAACATTGGATTTTAAATCCTCTGGGTAATAGTCCCATCCCCTCCCAATTAATCCCATTTTTACTTCCTCTGTATGTGTGATGTGATATGATCCTGCTGGTTATCCAATGGTCTATATTATTCTTCCAGCCAAGAAAGACTTACGTTTCTAATGAAAAAGCAAGCAGAAAAAGAAGATATGGGAGAAAAACAAACAAGCTCATAACCCCCTCCCCACCAAAACTAGATAACTGGAAAAAAAAATCTATAAGAGAATCTCATGTCTCCTTTAACAAGCCAGGGATGATGTGTAAAAGTACCCACGTTTTAGACTGCAGTGTGATTCCTAATTTCACTATTAGCCTTAATTCATTAACATGCCATTAACATGTCGTCTAGTGTGTAACTTTGAGTATTCCATGATATTGAAGAGAAATAATATGTCACTGAGATAGTATTGGGCTCATCCTCCAAAATTATGGAACTTTGACATCTCTACATTATTCTCTTGAGTCCAGTAGAATCTTTCCTCTCATTATTTTCTTACATGGCTAATGATTGCTCCCAGTATACTTGGGGGTTGTTGCATTTTCTTTACTTATGCGTTTTGTTGGACTTCTTTCAGCACCCACCAGCTTCTTACTGTTTAGCCAGAAGTCTGCGATCAGTCGGATGATACCAGATGACCAGCAAAGTCCAGATGTCATCCTTCCTGTGCATGGTCTAAGAAACGTCAAGGCCATTGATTATGATCCCTTAGATAAACTGATCTATTGGGTGGATGGACGTCAGAATATTATTAAAAGAGCCAAAGATGATGGTACCCAGGCAAGTTTATGTATATTTTGTGTGTGTTTAGTGTATTATATTTTTTAGTATGTATTTTATACTTGAAGCTTTCCAGACAGTTGTCATCGTAAGCAAGGGGTGAAGACCTTTTTTCAATCGGGAGCCACTGACTCGCAGAAAAATCAGTTGGGGACCACACATAAGTGAGAAGCAAAAAAAACCAAAATCCTAACTTACTACATGGATCACAAGAAGTTTGGGGCTTCCCCCAGCAGTGGGGCAAGCCAGCACTCATGCTCCTTGGGGGCACTGAGGCTCAGAGATTTACTGCAGGGCTGGAATGTGAGTGCCGGCTAACCCCACTGCAAGGAAAAGCCCTAGCCTCATCACAGGCCAGATCTGTCCCACATTCTATAGGTTTTCCACTCCTGCCTTAAGCTCTGAACGTACAAAAAACTTTGTTTAAATTAACACACTGGGAGTAGAATCTAAGGATTTGCAGTATCAGGATCTTAATTTGTATACAAAGAACAACAATAGAATAAGACATGTTGCCATGTGGTTTATATACTACAGATAACAAACCTAAAACTTTGGTAGTTGTATAAAGACAGAAAAACTCTTAAATCTGCTACAACTAGTTTGTTTATTTTACACTTTTTAAAATCAATATTGTGCATACCAGTTTGGTGAGCATAATATCATTATAAAGGTCCCTGAGACTAAAAACTCATTCTCAGCCATTCAAACCATTTTTTGGGCCCTAATTCAGCTTAAAGTTCATCACATATAATGATAACAATATGAGACTGAAAGGGATCTACTTGAGAGGTCAACTAGTACAATCCCTTGCACTCATGGTAGGACTAAGTAGACCATCCTTGACAGGTGTTTGTTTAACCTACTCTTAAAGATCTCCAATGAAGGAGATTCCACAACCTCCCTGAGCAATTTATTCTAGTGGTTAACCATCCTGACATGAAGTTTTTCCCAATGTACAACCTAAACCGCCCTTACTGTAATTTAAGTCCATTGCTTCTTGTCCTATCATCAGAGGTTAAGATTATTTTTTCTCCCGCCTCCTTTTAACAACCTTTTATGTACTTGATAGCTGTCATCATGACCCCCTCAGTCTTCTCTTTTCCAGACTAAACAAACTCATTTCTTTCACTCTTCCCTCATAGGTCATGTTTTCTAGACCTTTAATCGTTTTGTTGCTCTTCTCTGGATTTCCTCCAGTTTGTCACATCTTTTCTGAAATGTGGTGCCCAGACTGGACACGCTACTGGACTAGTATGGAGTAGAGTGGGATAATGATTTTTTGTGTCTTGCTTACAGCACTCCTGCTAATACATCCCAGAATAAAAAATTTTTCCCCCAGCAGAGTCACACTGTAGAATCATATTTAGCTTGTGGTCCACTATGATCCCTTCAGCTCTGTTCCCACAGTACTCCTTCCTAGGCAGTCATTTCCCATGTTGTATGTGTGCAATTGATTATTTCTTCTTAAGAGGGGTACTTGGTATTTGTCCTTCTTGAATCCCATCCTATTTACTTCAAACCATTTCTCAATTTGTCCAGATCATTCTGAATTTTAATTCCACCCTCCAAAGCGCTTGATTTGAATACTCAAATGTTTTGCTGAATAAGAATGGGCTTAAGCACGTGCTTAAGTGCTTTACTCTACCAGGGCATTAATTCTCAGTCCAGTTGCTTGCACAATGATGATAAAGTGTGTTGCTAGTCAGATACAATGTCAACAATTACACAGCCATCAACTTTTGAGAGTTTAACAGATTCCTAAAGCACATAATTAAAATAATACAGAATGAAATTAATGTTAAGGTAGTGTAGATAGAGCTTCCATTGTTCTTTGCTTCCTATCACCTCTATGACATAATTTAAATGGAGCTGATGCTGTCTGTCTATATCTCTCTTGCTTTCAGAGAACCCTTTGTAAATGATTGTCCTTCAAACAAAAAAGAAATTTTACATTCTAAGCAATTTTGTTTGATGCCCTTGATTTTTTGGGGGGGAAGAGTGGGGAGGAAAGAGGGGAGTGACAAAATTAATTACTAGCTGGGAGGGAGTTTTGAGGAAATGCTGAACATGCTCTCTGAGCTATACTAGGTGTTAATTGTTGGAGTGTAGCTTCCCTTTGGTGGTACTTGCCAGGTGCAAATTGCATTGGAGATTAATTTGCTGTGGTGTTTCTGTTTGGTTTTTTGTTTTTTGTTTTTTTGGGTTTTTTTGGATTGCACTGATTAAAGGATGTTACCGTCTTTGAAGCAGAAGCTCCTTAGAAAATTTGGGTTCTTAGCTTACAACTTTCTTTAGTTTGTTTTGCTGAATTTTGCTAATTGGTATTTTGTATATATATTTATATTTTCCCTTTCTGGTAAAGCTTTTCTTGGTTAAGAAAAGAATAGCTTTGATTTTTTTAAATTTTATGTTTCATAACTTGCTATCGAGATGAAAACTAGATACATAAAAATAATTCCTTGCCTTACCTTTAAATACATCTGAAATTATTAAAACCAAATTATAAAAATGTTGTAGGTTGGTTGGTTTGATTGCAAATCCTTCTCTCTTTCAATTAACTCAGTTGGGGCTATGAATAAAACTAAGCCTGTTTAAGTATATAATAACAGTCTTTAGATCTGAATCATCTTGTCTTTAAATCATCTAGTTCATTCCCCTCCTAATGTAAAATTGTTCCCTATCCAACATTCTTCATTGTTCTGTTCAGGCAATTTTTGATTAATTCCAGTGATGGGTACTCTATGATTTCTTCTTGGAAACTTTACATAATCTTAATTATTTTTCATCCAGACAGTTTCCCTAAACCAGTTTTCACTCAGCTTCATTCTATTTCTTCTAGGTTTTCCTCCTTGAATATTTTCCTTCCTGATTGTTTCAGATCTATGTAGATTTTCAAATCATCTCTGTAATGAAAATTACATGTTTTCCCAGTTCTTATCTTAATGGGTCTTCTTTTTTGTTGTTCTTGTTATCCTGTAGCCTTTCACTGTGATGAGCACTCCAAACCAAAGCCAAAATCCAGAGAAGCAGCCACATGACTTGAGTATTGATATTTACAGCCATACCTTGTACTGGACTTGTGAAGCCACAAATTCAATCAGTGTTCACAGACTTAATGGGGAGCCAATTGGAACAGTGCTAAAAGGAGATCACGATAAGCCAAGAGCCATAGTAGTCAATGCAGAGAGAGGGTGAGTT